TAGAAAATGAAGATTGTAAGAGATTGAATAAAATAGCTAGAAAGAAAGGAGGGATGAGCACGTAAATAGCATTAAGAAAGAGCGTTTTTTAGTCGAAAGGATTTAAGAATTATGTAAATTTTGGGCCAATGTTTATTCTATATAGGGCCTAAATTGACTGGGAATTTCTACAATTGTAAATTTATCAATAACTTATAAACTCAGAATTTCTAAAGACGAAACAATATCGGAGCGAGGAAGGGACGTAAAACTTGTTTTAAAAAAAACGATTTGAGCTTAGCAAAACCGACATTTTTATATAAATTGATAGTTAAAATATTCTAAAATTACAATTTTAAATTACAAATATCATAAAACTTGGCGTAGGAACCAGCAAATTCGTATAGAAGCGGCGTAATATTTCTCCCCTCCCCCATTTTGTATACGACTTTTTTAAAGGGGAAGAAAATCTTTTTGATTAAAGTGCGAACGGTTATTTTGAATAAATAAATAAATAAATAGTTTATTTTTTAGTTACATTTTTCTTTTCACAAAGAGAAGAGAAAATGTAGAGAGGTATAACACGGTTTATTTGAAAAAAAAAGGGAAGAAAGAACGGAGTAGACTATATAGAAGAAGCCGCAGTATCTGCAACTATAGGTACATCTCCTTTGGGAAAAGAGACGAAGAGAGAGAAAGATCTGATGCACATAATGGAGGAATGGTGAAGTGGGCAAACACATCTGTTTGTGCTGACGCTCGAAACACGCTAGGTATATATGCAAATTTTCTGCTTCCGTCTCTATCTGTCTCACCGATCAAACACGAAGTCACTACAGCAATATCTAGACGGTTTCTACCTCTATTTGTTTTTCTGCGGTAAATATATATATATTTACACATCAAAACTTCTAGAAGATGTAACGAAAAATAACAAAATGTGCATATTTGACCTGGGTCACTTATATATTTTTAATTATAGTTATTATCATTGCCACTAGATGGAACCACGTAGCACACTTATAAAAATTTAAAAAAGTACTCATTTATATTAATAATTATCATAATTAAAATTAAATTATATTAAAATTATTCAGAAAAAATAAAATAAAAATTTTGGTAAGATCTTCCATGTTAAATATATGTTTTAACTTTTATTATTTTAATTACTTAGACCAAGTATTTTAGAATAATTGTAAATATAAAATTAGAAAAATTTGCGCTTAAATTTAAAATTTTTTTTGTATTATTTTTCATGTAAATTCTAAGATTCGCAGCGTGCATAGGACAGCAATAAAATTTCTCAAATCTAATCAGACTTAATCCTACCCTTTAGCTGAGTTTATATATTTTGGAGGGGGGTTTAAAACATGGGAATAGTAGATACAGCGAAAAGATAGCCGGGTTGAATTGAAAGGGGGTAGAAGAAAAAATTCTTACAGTTCAGCGTGTTATATAGCGAGTGCTGAGCGTTGTTATTCACCATCCTTCTTGATACGTATCTGATTGAGTGACTTTGTTGCCATGGTGACGTGCTGATGCCTCCCCTACACGTCGGTTGGGATTTACACTCTATGTAATAAAAGATCTTGTTGATATGGTAGGCGATGCGAGATGCTTGTTAGCTACTGTCCTGCAAGAGGCTAGATTTTGTAAATGACGTTACGTCAGTAAAGGTTTCTAGATATTTGGAAATATCTGTCAACCCTCTCCTCTCTTAACTTTCCTCACCATTTTTTTTTTCCTTCTCTTTTTTTTTCACATTATCACTTCTTGATATACAATAATAATGCTTTAAACAAGGTATAAATTTATTTTATTTTATTTTTTTTCGTAAATTTTTACTATTTTTGTTTAACGTGGCAGGAACTTTCTACTATAGAAAAAAAAGGGGTAGTTGTAGGTTATGTCACGTTGCGACGATGCTAAGTCACGCTCGCTTTCCTAGCAAGGTTATTGTTTAAAAGCGAATTTTCCACTTCGTTGAAGAAAGTAAAATTTAAAAAATAAATAAATAAATATATTATGTATAGTACATATAAGTAAGAAAGTATCTCGTCACGTCACGATTCGAAAGATTTCTGTCACCTTTAAAGAATATTATCATTGCGTCACGAGAATTTTTAAGCGGTTTAAATATATATTTGGAGCGTCACGAATTGAAATTTTTTTAAAAAAACAGTCACGAATACGTTGAGGGATATTTTTATTGCTGTTTTGTAGAAAGGGGGAAAAAAAGCAAGAAAATCGAGAATCCTAGAAGCCGCAAATCATTTTTCATCCGGTCATTAAACTTGTCGTTAGCATTAGCTGAAATTTCGAAATGCCAAGACGACTAAGTTTAGGATGGAAAAAAAATAAATAAAAATTCAAAAATCTAGTATAATTCTATAAAAATTCATTTAAACAGAAAGATTTACGAGTTAATGATGCTATTATTAATATAATAATAATAATAATAATAATTTTACACTTTAACAACTGTGACGCTCGTTTCTCGCCCACAAATTAATCCCATTTCTTAAATATGCAAGGCGAATTAAAAAAAAAAACTCAATAAAAATTTTAAAAAATTTAAAATTCCTTTACTTCCCACCGATTGTTTTTTTTTAAACTAAGAATGCTGATTTTTTAATCTTAAAAAACAACGTTAAAATTCATCCGGAGTGGCCAAAGGCTAAAAAAGCCTATTAGCCAATTAGGGTAAAGTATTTAATTTAGGCTCAGCCTATAGGCAGCCACGTAGCCTTATACAGTATCGAGTTCATTGTACTAAAATTCCTGGAGAACAATCATCTAGAAGAACATTAGGGTGTGGGGCCAATCTCGTCCCGTAAAACAGGTAGTCGTACCACTTGTGACGTAATTTCGTAACTCCTCCTTCACCGCATCACGTGATTGACTTTATGTGGCAGCTTTCGTGAGACTTCTACCCACCCCTTACATCACTAAGCAGGCAACCAAGGATACGATTGGATATGATTGGGCGCCAGTCGGTCGACCGAATAGCTCCCATTCCTTTACTTGGGATCAAAGATCCTGCCTAGGGGTGTAAAGGGGAAGGGGCTATTTTCCCTTTGTTCAGAATCGCAGAATTTTTTAGTTTTTTTTTATTCTCTCCCCCCTTTCTAATTCCTATTCGTATCGTGTCGATGACGCGTACTCGATCTTAGAAGGAAATTTGTATAGCTTCCAGTCGATCATTTTTCAGATAAAAAATAACTACTAATTTCGGCATTACCATTGAAACTCGAACCAAAATTATCACTCGAAAACGACAGATTTCAACCATATTTCAGTAGAAAAATGACTGAAAACGTAGTTTTTTCCTGGATTTTATAACTTTATTACACCATATTTCAGTCGAATCGAGCGATTTCAATATGCCACCGACGAGGATTTTTTTTCTCCTCCTTTTCCCTCCTCCCTCATCCATTCTTATATATGTAAAATAACGAAAAAATGGGAGTAAATATATACCTCTACATAACGAAATACGACATGATAACGTTACTTAGCGAAACGTCAAAAAAAAAAAAAAGGAGGGACGAAAAGAAGTAGTCAAATTCTCTACTCTTGTTTTGAGACTAGGCCCGGGGCCTGTTGATAATCGCACGATCTGTTTTGATTTAGAGCATAAAAGACAGAAGCGCTATCTGAACTTGAGTAACGTGTTGAAGTGGGAGATGACACACATAAGCAGACAATTAAATGGCATACCCCAGGGAACGTGCAACTTCCATGATCCTGACATTTGCCGGAGTTAAGCTCTTCTCTCGAACATGAACAGTCGCTGGTGAGATTACGTAGAGACCAAAGTCCGCTGCCATCTGTCATTTCAGCTTAACTGTCGCTGGATATCCTTAAATGTAACTGTCTACGACCGTCATCAGTTATTTCCGACTGTAAATCATTCCTCTCATGTTTTCTATTTCGTGTGTCGTGTAATTTTACTTTATCCTTTTATCCTTAAATTTTTAATGATTTTTTTTTTTACATTCCTTCTTTCTTTCTTTTGAATATTTTATATTTTGTCTTTCGTCATTTACTGAAAAATCGTTTTAAATTCGATTTTTTTTCTTAAATTTAAACTGGGAATACAGATGATACAATATATGCATAATCAACGTTAATGATGGCAACTTTATAATAAATAAACTACAATCGTACGAGCTTTGATCTCTCAATAATCTCCAAATCTAGATCATTAGATGTGGATGCTAGATGTGGATTTCTATTAAAAATCTCTAGATCTAGATGTGTAATAGAAAAAGAAGAAGAAGAAGCGACTTTGGTCTTTTCATTTCTGTCTATCATCCGAAGATCTAGATCTAGAGATTTAACCTAGAAAACCCAATCAGATTTTGGTCTAGAACATCTTAAGACGTTCGCCATTTATCTTATATATATATATATATAACTTATAGTTAAATTAAATCTATTTTATTTATTTAAATTAATTTATAATCTTACGTATAATTTACGGCCTAAATTTCTTATGTTTAACTTAAAAATAGAGAAAAAAAACGAAGTGAAAATTGGAAAAAAACGTATTTAAACTAATGTAGATTATAGAAAATAAATGACGGAACAGAAGGTGTATTCGTAAATAAAACAAGACAACAAATAATGAGTAAAGAAAGAAACCTTTTTTTCCCCCTCCCTCTCTTAAAAAAAAAACAAAGAAGAGAAAGAGGCAAGGGAAAGAGAAGAGAGAGAGAGAGAGAGAAAGAAGAAGAAGAAGAAAAAAAAGAAAATCTTGAAAAGATGACGTAAAGGACATTTGCTATTGATTGGCAGTAAAGCTGAGAAAAACTATAGTTTTACAGCATTTTGACGAGGCGCCGAGCGCTGGCGGTCGACGAGGACTAGTTGTAGGGTCGCAGACTTCTACCTATCCTATACATAAGATAGTACGCCGTAAATTATACAGGTCGATCTGACTGGTTTTAAATTTTTATACCGTTGCCAAGGTAACCAACTAGATGATGTTCACTTATTTTTGGAAACCTTATTTCCAGCGACAAGAAAAAAGTCGAGCTCGACGTTAACTAAATTGTGGGCCTAGATGGACCGATAGTTTCTGCTCTATACACCTATAAGCAATCTATATAAATATATATATATATCCGCATATAAAATTTTAATAGGCAATCTACTAGCAGATGAATTGGTAAGCTTACTATGTATATATATATATCTTTTTTTTTCTTTTATTTGTAATTATTTTTAATGATATCGTGTGGCATTTTTTAAAATATTTATAAAATATTTTTGAGTAGTTTTATATATATATATATATATATTTCCCTATTTTTTTATTTTTTCGTTAAGAGTGTTCGATCAATTCTTTCGAGTTCTTTTGAAGTCCTGCTAACGAAGTCTATTGTAAAGTAACAGTCTGACTAGAAACTATTCACAGGCACAAACAGCGTGTAAGCGGAACTTTTGACAGATATTAACTGGATTTTTTTTTCTAAACTGAAATTTTTACTTTTGTGTAGAATAAAAATGAGGTAGAATTAATTAAAGTAGAATTCTCTATTGCTACGAACGTATTTCTGTCTTTTTTTTTTTTTTTTTTAAATTTTCTTCGTCTTCTGGCGGTAGTTAGTGTCGACTCGTGGCGTGTACCTCTACTTTGTTTATAAATAGACTTATCAATGTTTTATCATCCGAGTATAATTCATAAATATCTTATTAGGTGAAGCGGGCTGTGTTGATGTTTATGGCTGACAAAGTGTCACGTGACACGCATGAGTTGAGAATCGAATGCTCGCGTATCCTCCTCCGACTCCTACGTATGTGACGTATACTTTTATTAATACTTCGTTGGAAATCAATGAGAGCGCTTTACTTTTTGGTGTTTTCCGAGTGAAAATCACGCAGGTGTATCAGGTTGGTTTTCCTACATTTTTAATTTTTAATTGGCTCCCTAGCCTTACAATAGTGCTAATAATTCAATATCGTGTGCTTCTGTTACGAAAACATTCGTGCTAACTAACGTGTATCTGGCTCTTTGAATATATATTAAACTCGATATGTCATATTCGCGTTCTGCTCTTATATCATAACTCATAAATTAAAGAGCGATTCGTCGTAATTTAAGTAAAATCTAAGTCTACATAAAAGTAATTTTTATTTAACAAAGCGTAACCAACTTTTAGAAAACGTTACGCTTAGTTGCAAATATGCTTAACACGCTTTATCAGTAACATTTTTACCTTCTCCCCTTTGTATTTTTGAATATTATCCTCACCAAAGTTGACCCCTTCCAGAAAAATTTTCTACATTGATACCAACAAATCTCTCTGTTTCCAGGATCAGTATCGTTATCACATATTTTACAAGGCTAGCATCTTTATTCTACACGCGATACGCCCTCGTTTTATGTTTTAGGATATTCCGAGCACAGTATGCTCGTCTTTAAAATCAATTTTAACAATTTGCGTGTAAGATAAACCTCTTTAAAATTTCTAAGTTATTAATGTAAACCAGCGATTTTAATCGATAATCATGTACAAGCTGATATCTGCGTATGAATATGGAGAAGAAAGCAGAGTTAAAACTGCTGTAATCAGGTAGTTAGTGAAGCCAGTCTTTCTCACTCATGTTCACCTGAGAGAGTATTGATTTATAGTGGCAGGTGCGGACACATGCAGCCTTACTTAGGCGTATTAATGCTGGACTCCAGTATTGATTATTTTCACTTCTTTTTTCCTCATTGCCGCCCTCCACTCATATATGACCCTGTATCTAATACCTGATGTATGTTGCTCGAGAATAATACAAAATCCAAATTGTTTCAATCGATGGATTAAATGTAAATTATTGCACCATTTCTACTTTTAAAACCTTTTTCGTGTAGAAGTCGTGTGTAATGATTTATGTCAATAAAATCATTGATTCCGTTCCACTGTAAATCATATTTTTATTTTTATATGTATTTTTTTAACATATAATTCCAACGTTTTTGTTCTCTACTCCTCGTTCTGTAATTATCTTTTCGTCGTTTTTATTTTTTAAAATTCCTAATCTTATTTTATTTTTTTAAAAAAAATGTATATTAAGATCCTTTTTGAATGGACTAAATTCGCTTTAATTAGTTTCTGGTCTTACTGGAATTATAGCAATATTCTGTTTAAGTGTATTTTTTTAAATTTTATCCGATGCAATTTTAAATTATTTTAAACATAAATCTGAATTTCTTTTTATGTAGTTATAAATTCCTTCCAAACAAATTAAATTTTCTCATTTTAGCTTTATAAATCTCACTTTTCCTTTATTTTTTTACATTTTTTTTTTCTTAAACACAAATTCTTTGTTTGAAAAAGTCCTCATCCTAAATTTCTATGCATAAAAATATAAAACATATATATATATATTTGTTCTTTTATAAACGTAAAATGCATTTTTTGAGTGAATTTTTCGCAATATAAAAGGTTAAAATTTACGTTTCTATGAAGCAAAATTCTACTAAATAAAAATAAATTATCTCATTTAAAATTAACTTTACCTTTTAAAATGAAAACGAAATTTTCTCTCAACATCAACTTAAACAAGAGAAACTCAAATTCATTTTAATTAAGTTTTACAAAAATCTTCTTTAATTAAACTTAATTTTAATTTACACTTTCTTTACATTAAGTTCAAATTTTCACAGATTTATAAGCGTAACTAATTCTAAAACGTAATGTAAATTAATTCTAAGATAAAATCCTAAAATATTCAAATAAAAGTGATTTAAATTTTAAACACTTTTTACTATATTCAGCTTAAGAATAAGCATCCGTTTAAGCATTGATTTTAAATTTATAGGCAAGAATTTTTAATAGTAATTTATTATTAAATTAATTTTTGATCATCTCTGTTATAAAATTAAGTATAAAATAATATGTATATAAATTTTTTAAATATGGTATTAAATTATACAAATTATAAAAAATATTAATACAAAAATTTATATACAAAAATTATTTGATATTTTTAAATAATAATAATTGCATTAAAAATAATTACATTTATAGAAAATAAATCAATTTATTTTACTATAAATACAGTAAAACCTGTTTAAAACGGAAAAAAATTCTTCGGAACGGAGGAATTTTCTGTTAAAAAACCTGTTTAAAACGAAAACCTGCTAAGCCGGAAAAAATATTGAATACAGTGTGATTCCCGTTTACGCAGGTTTTACTGTAAATAAATAATATAAATAATAATAATATTATTATTATTATTTTTTTCATTTAAATCTGTGTTGTATTATTTCTTTAAAGCTTTAAACACCCTATCAAAAAAAAATTTTTATAAGAAAAAAATGTAAAATTTTCCACTAACCTTATTAATTTTCCTTAAAAATTTAGCAAAATATTTATTACTACTAATTTTTGCTTAACAGTTAGCAAAGATTTAAGAGAGGGAGGAAGAAGAAAAAAATAAAAAAAGTAATCTTTAGTATCAATTTTTATTTAAATAGCAATTTTTTGAAGTAAAAACGAACGAATGAAAAATGATTTTAGAAATTTATAAACGATTTCGAATCCTATCGAAATAATAATAATAATAATAATAATAATAAAAGCATTTAAGATATTATTTCTTTTAAAAATAATTTTACAGCTGTTGCTGAATAGCTTAACATTAGCGATGCTGTCAAATTTTAATGTCTTTCGAAATAAAATTTAACAAGCCGTGAACGTCTTATATTTCAACAGCCTTTGGTGGTTTCTAAGTAAGATTCATTGAATTACAACTAGAAATAAGTTGGGGAAAAAAGTCCTAAAAAAATACGAAAAATCCTTAATTTCTTCACACATTTTTATTACCGGATCGTAATTTATAATATAGAAAATTTTTTTGCAATTTTAAACGTTTAAAAAACAGAAATTTAAGGTAAAAAAAAAGTCCATCTCACGTGATCGAAATTAATTTTTAATTTTAAAAAGAAGGTAAAAAAAAATTAAATTAAAATAAATTTATTTGCATAATTGTGATAATTTTAGAAATTTAATTTGAATATTTTATAATTTTAATTTAAGTTAAATTTTTTAAAAGTTTATATATAATTTTTCCATTTAAAAAAAAAAATGTTTCCTTTTACTTGTTTCATCTTTCTTTTTTATTTTTGCATTAGACTCGGATCGATCGAATAAACAAATTGCTAATTGGATAGTTTTTTAGTACACTTGTAAAGTTTTTAATTAGAACGATTGGTGAAAATTTAAAATGACGTAGAGATTGAGTAATAAAACTACCAATCGAACGTGAAATCATATTTCAAATCATCCAATGGAAGACGAAGAGTTAGTAGACGATTCGTCTTTTGTAATCGATTTCATAACCATATTATTGGTGGGTAATAACGTCACACGTCGATGAAATACGTCCAATCGGACGTGCATTATTATTTAAACGAACCAATCATACGTAGAATATAATTAAAACTCGTCCAACGAAGCGGAAATACAATTTAGATTTCGATTTTAATTAAATTTTATTTTCATCTTTTTTTTTTAAAAAAAGGTATATTTTTATTCTTTTCATATTACAATTCTCTAGCGATGAAAGGGAAAGATACGTAAATAGAACTTATTTATATAGATGGAAGTCATTAAAAACGTATATTGTATAGATCAATAAGTAGCTGTGGATAGTTTGACCGGAATCAGGAAACCAAGAGGGGATAGAAAACGTATAAGACCGATGACGTATGAGGTCGCTATAGTGGACTTCGTACTGTAGATGCCATAACGATCCATCCCCTCTCGTGGCAAGCAGGAAGATGGAATGAAAGCAAAGATACTGCAAGAGAAAAGTCATTTGTTGCAGCAGAATGATCTTTCTGTTTCTCTTTTTCGAATTCTTATACTCTAGACCCCTTATATATGTTGGCATCTCCTGCATCAATACAAGCTGAGAAGCGAAGGAATATTTTTGATTTTATTCCTCTTCTTATATTTCTTTTGATACGGCTTTATTCGTGACGTCATCCGTAATGGAATTCTCATTAGGACTTTATATATATATATATATCTTTATTTTGTAGCCAATGATATATTTATAAATAGCCGCGTTGATATTTTATTTATTTTTCATCTGTGATATCATATGTAATCGTTTAATTATTAAATTCGTTTTACCGTTTTATTCATTAATATATAATGATTTTAACGTCTAAACCGTACTACCAATCGGAGTTGCTTTAACACATTTATACATGATGGCCACTCCAACTTTATTAGTTTAATTTATTAGAAGGTTAACATAATATAATTATAATTCTTTAAATTTTTTATTAGTTAGTTTATAATTCAAATACTTTTATTACGTAATGAATTCTGTGACCTATCTATTATTTAAATTATTATAGAATTTTTAGGGATATTTTTTAAAATGAATTTTAAGGAATTGAGGATTTTTAAGGATTTTTAAAGAAATTGGAGATTATTTAAAAGGATTTTTAAAGGAACTTTGAGGAATTAATTATTTTTAAAAAGAATTTTTTTGTACTATTTTTTAAGGACTATTTTTAGTTAAAATTAAGATATTTTAAAAGAGCCGAAAGGGGTTTAGAAATGTTGAAGGAAGTAAAAATGTTTTGTTTATATATATATAAATTGTCGTTTTATATTACCTTTTGATATCACATTGTTTCTGACTGTGTAACACTGACAATGCATTTCAAGTGCAGCTGACATCGTTGTATGAGAATGACAGATAGAAAATCTCATTTAATTGCAAATGTCAGTAAAATATAACCTTTTTATATATACTTTATGTTATTCAACAATCATTTTTATCAAAATTTTAAACAGAATTTATTTGACCATATATTGAAACGTGTGTTTTCCACTATTTTTTGATTTAAAATTATATATTATTTTAAACTTAATATCTAG